GAATTTATCTCTCTTTTCCAAACTAATCTTAATATTTGTTTTTCCATAAGCAGATTACTGTTTATTATATTTTTACATGTACTGAATGTTACTGGCATGATTAACACTTTACTTTCCATGAAAATTTTTTACTGTTTTTTTCTCTCTCCCTTGTGAGTGTGAGTGTTTCTCCTTCCTGCCTACCATGAGCACCACTTTTTATAACAGTACTTAAGCTGTCTTTGCATCATTTTACTTTTTAATGAAACTGGAAATTCTTATCTTGCTTGTCCCCCCCCCCCCACCAAGTAAGTTTTCTCATGATTTTTTCAATGGATCAACATGAATGCATGTTTAAAATACTCCAAAATAAAATGGTAATCTTAGAATGAACTCACTTCTTCCTTTCTTCACACCTTGTTCCCATGGCAACCATCAGTGGTCTTAGTTGTCTGTTACGCTATGTAAATGTTCATGGATACGTCTATGGTTGCCTCACCTTAGAGCTGAGGATGGAGCACATGAGGGGAGCGTTTGCCTTCATAAATAGTGCCTACGCCACAGTGGCTGTGATGAGTTCACGAGCGTATACAATTAGCAGAGTTCTGCATAGCGGTGCTGACAATCTGTGGATTTTTACTACTTTGAAATAGTGCCTTAAAAAGCGTGCTTTAAAAGTGTGGTGAGGAGCTGAAGAGGTGGCTCTGTGGTTAAGGGCAGTGACTGCTTTTCCGGAGGACCTGAGTTTGACTCTCAGCACCCACATCCCAACTAACAACATGCAGACCATGTGGTGTATATAGTGTACCTCTGTTGGCTTAACTTTAGTTTTGGGAGTTTAATAGTGAACAAGATGTGTAAAGTTTCTAACCACAGAAGTGTGGGATACATATCAGCAAGTGATATAAAATGCTGTTAAAAATAAACTTACCATTCTTTACTTTATCTCACTTTTTTTTTTAAAGCTTGGCTGGCTCTTTTTTTATTGTAACGAATACATTTTCATATTGTTTTGTGAACATTACTATGGGTCCTTGCATTTTAAAAATTTTTTAGATTTTTTTTTGTGTGTGTGTGTGAATGTATGTGAGTGTGTGTATGTGTTTTTATGTGTGTGGGGATGTCTACCATGTCTATAAAGATGCCCATGGAGAGCAGAAGAGGGTGTGAGGTCTCCTGGAACTGGAGCTCGAGTTGTGAATTGCCCAGTGTCTGTGCAGAGACCTGAATTCACATCCTCGGCAGAGAGCAGTCAGTGCTCCTAACCTCTGAGCCCTCTCTCCAGCCCTAGCTCTTACGTTTTCTAAGGTCTGATATGAGAGAGCTTTGGTGACCTTTTCTCCAATACAGAGAAAAGGTTAAACTAGTCTTCCCTGAGAAGTTTGAGGTTGAGTTTCCTAGTCTTGTATGACATCATCAGATCCCTCTGATTTGTCTGTAAACAACTTGCTGTGAATATGTGGAGTTTTTAAATTGCTTAGTTTTTATTTACCCCTTTAACTTCCTTCCTTGTGAAAATTTGTGTTTCTTTTTCTTCCTTGACATTTTCTTTTATCTGTCTATCTATCTATCTATCTATCTATCTATCTATCTATCTATCTATCTATCTCTTAATTACTTCCATTCTCTTTTCTGTTTCTTTCTGGAACTCCTTTTAGGTCATATATTGTAATTTTTAACCCTCTGTCATAATTTTTCACTGCCTTGCAATGCAGAATGCCTTGGCAGAATAAAGTGCTTTTAGAATGTCTCTGGACAGCAGGTCTGGCTGGTTGCTCTGTTTTCAAAGATGCTGTCCAGGATGTCTGCCCCACAGAGTTGTCCGACTTGGGATTTTTCAAGGACACTTTTGAAAACAGTTTTGAAAACATTTCTAAATTAAAGAAAAACACAACAACAAAACAAAAGACAACCAACCAAACCCTAGGAAGTCCACTTAATGTATGCACCCTGTATGCATATGTGGTGTTCTTTATCTATTCTAAATGATAAACTATCCAACGTGTTTTGTATTTATTTTATAAAAATGTTACTTTTTTGTTTAGTTACAGTTTCTTGGTAGTGCTTATATCTCAGTTGGTTCAAACCTTATGTTTGATACCTGTCAGTATTAAGCATTTATATAAATCAGGTATATTAAATGTCAAGTATATAGGTATGTGTGTGTGTGTGTGTGTGTGCACGCACGTGCGTTTGGCTGGTCCTTTATTTTTGTTGTTTTGTGATGAACTGTAATATTTAAAGGCATGCACCACTCTATTTCCTGTTGCTCTTACACCATCCCTGAAGCTGGACCCCGCTAAAGAAAAGAAGCATACTTAACTCACTGTTTTGGAGCTGAAAGTGCAACCAAATGGCCTCATCAGTCTGGCCCTTGGTGACAGTGTCAACGGTGTATGTGGCTTCACCATGGTGAAATGCATGCCTGAAGGAGAGACACAGTGAAACAGTGAGCCCAGGATGGCATTTTCATGACAACTTGTTCTAATGGGAACTGGGTGAGCTTCCTGTAGAATTCCACTGACTCCTGAAGCTTGAAAATAAACACTGAAAAAATGTTAGTATAAAGTGTGAGACATCTAAAGATAGGACTTTCTCAGCTGTTTCAGTGAAGCTGCAGCAAGGTATTCATTGGAGCCAGTTGTCATCAGAAAAACATACTTGTTTGTCAAGAGATGTTTGGTGAGTCGGAGGCACCAGCTACCTCTTTGGATGAGAAAGCTGAATTGTGGTGCTGCCAACCCTATTCATTATCTGCAGACACCTTCAAGCTGTAGTGGATATTTTTGCCCTAATTATGAGAAAAACTACAAAACTTTCAAAGTATGAACTACTTATTACCTGGCCCTTGGTGTTTGAATAAAGTGCTTTTGGAATGTCTCTGGAGAAACAGGTACAGCTGTTTGTCCCTGGACATCAGGTTATGTTCCATTGCTTCCCTTTTCTGAGGAGTAGGGAAGGGGGACAGAGAGGAGTGGAGGAAGGGGCCTACGATTGGGATATAAAGTGAATAAATAAAAAAGAAAGAAATCACTTCTAATTTGTACAGTAGTGACAGCATGCTCACTGATCTCCTACTTTCATACCATTAAGAAAACAACCCAACCCTGTAACCACACTGCTTGGCTAGACATGTTCTTGTTTAGGCACTTTTCCCCAACTTCACACTGTTTTGCTCCTCACTCGTGGCTAACATCTGCCCCCTCTTCAAAGTAGGATTAAAATAAAAATTAGCTCTGAAGACCTGAAATATAGAAAGTAAACACCCCATGCATATGGCTCCACTGGCCTTAATTGTCTGTCAGGCTCCGCGCTCTTCTCTGTCTGTGCTTACTTTTCACACACAGGTTTAAATCCATTCCTCTGCCTGTTCCAGTTTGTCTGTCACTCACAGGTTAGCATGCCTGGAGCATACACATACACATAATATAATAAGCTCTTGTTACAGGTAAACTGGAAAATCGTGGTCCTTAGTAAAAAGACTACAGTCAGGACGCTTTCCCAGACAAAGAACAAAAGGAGACCTGAGGAAAAGCTAATCAGGCTTTCCTGAAGTGAAAGTAAGAACACGAAGTACAAACTCACAAAGGTCAATGTGGGTTGACTGGAAAAACCTGGCTGACTCTCAGGTCTTTGCTGCTTACGCTTTCCATTATGGGTCCAGGTGATGTAGGCTGTAGGTGCAAACATCAGGTGTGGGTACTCAGCCTTTCTGGTCTTTGAACATTTGCGCTTAACATGTGAATTGTTGCTGGGAGGGGAAGTCTAATTCCAGTGCCACGTGGAACATGGGATCAAGGCTTCAGGGAAGCACTGCACTGCCCACAAAGATCTAGTATCTTGTTTTATACCCTAATGAATGCTAGTTTTTTTCTTTTAAGAATTATTTACTATACACTGTGTAGTATACACAGGATAACAAGATGGCTCAGTGCTTGCTGCCAAGCCCGATGCTCTAAGTTTGATTCCAGAAACCCATGTGGTGGAAGGAGAGCAGGAACTCACACAATTTCTCTGACTTCCATACATGTATCATGGCATATGCATGAATATGCACACACGCACATACACACAAACACACAAGCACACACCACATACAAACACAGATGTAGACACACTAAACTTCAAAAGAGTAATAATTACACATATTTACAGCAAACATATGCACATTAGGAAGCATCTGAAATGTATAAAATGTTAAGATAATTGATTGAAATAAATTGTGTTAGTAAAGCAACAGATCTTGATATTTTCATTGGTAAGGTCAACTAATATGATCATTTTTATGTAGCAAGACTGTCCATATTTGACATATTTTGAGTTTGAATGTTTTAATGAAATGGAATTGAATGGAGGTGTTTAACCATGACATATTCCCCTATGTTGACTTAGAAAAAAATAAAATTTTGTTGCTTAGGAAATTCACAAATGGTGTTCCAATTAAATATTGTTTGCCAGGCGTGGTGGTGTATGTCTTTAATCCCAGCACTCGGGAGGCAGGTGGATCTCTGTGAGTTAGAAGCTAATCTGGTCTGTAAAGAGAGACCAGGGCAGCCAAGGTTAAAAAGGGACACCTTTTCTCAAACAAACAAAAAAAAATTTAAAGAGCAAGCCTAAGATATCTATTCAAAGTCAGTAGATGTAGCTGTTGCTGTAAAATAGATTATCCATTGGTGGTTATGTGAGTCTATGTATTTGGATGCCTTTAACTCTAATCAGCATGGCCCTGAAATCTGTTAGATCTGGGACATATGTGAAAAAATGGTTTTGTTCTTTGTACTCAGGCAAACCTGGTCTTTAGTCCTTCAGTCACTAGTCCTTCAGTCACGTGATTTCTGTGAGACCATAATCAGATTTTCTAAATGTTGCTCTCAGTGGGGGCTAAATGTGATGCATGGGTTAAGTAACATATAGAGGACCCTTTGGAAAGCAGCTGATCCATAAACACCAGGAGCTTCCCTGTCTGCTTCCAACTTGCCTGATTGTGTTTTTTATTACCCTTTACCCTTGTTGTATTCCAGGAGGTGTTCTGTATGGACAGCTGCTGGAAGCCCGTAGCCATAGCCAGTTCTTCATCAACTCTTAAGCATCCACCTGGGCATTAAGTAATGAAAATTTTGGTAAGTAAGAAAACAAACAAAAATAGCATATCACTTTTCTTATAAGGTCACCTTAATCTCAGCTCTGTTTTATAATAAGTGGCATGAATATTCTCCAAACATCTCCAGCTATGACAGATGTCCATTTTCCTAAGGTTTGTCTTTATTTTAAAAATAAATAACATGGGCTTTTGAAAACAAGACTGACAGTCTGCCCGTGCTCTCTGTGCCACTGATAATGCACTAGTTCACTTAGCTCTGTCTCTCTTGTTCTCTAGATGTCTATCCACTCCATAAATTGTGTCTCTGAGGGCAAGGTCTGGTGTTATGCATCTTTTTAGAGTGTACACAGAATAAACACAGACTCCTGGTGGTTGAAGTGTTGGTTGACAGTGCTCTCTCTAACTATAAAAGCTTTGACAAAATGAAGAGCCAGGTCAAAGAATCAAAACTGGGTCTGAGTCAGACAAATGAGGTTCTAAATAACCAAGGAAAGTTGTTATGTAGGGGCTGTTAGAATGAGAAAGGATACATACACTTCTTTTTGAGATAGGATCTCATCTCATTGTAGTCCTGGGTGGCCTGGGACTTGCTATATAGATCAGGATAGTCCTGAGCTCACAGAATTTCAAGTGAAATTTGCTTCTCTAGGATTAAGTACACATACTACCTGGCCCCTATGTCTTTATTGGTTTAATTTTTATTCAGTTTTCTCCAAGTGATAATATGTATTTTGATCAACATATACTTGCATGAAATTAATGTTCTATTATTGCTCTTGCTATTATTTTGCATTACTAATCTATGCTGTATATAATATGTAGTCTATTAAAAAGGAGAGTGAGAGGAATTGAATGGTGACAGAAATAGCTCACTGGTCCTACGGATATGCATGGCAATAGCTAAGAAATGGCAGTTATCATTGACTGGAGATTTTGTACATACAGATAGTTGGAGACTAAAGTAAAACCAAACAGTAGATTCATTGAGAGTTCACTGTTTCTGATAAAGAATATTGGTTTTAAAATGACACCTTTACAATTTTGGACCTAAATTACGATAAAATGCAGCCCTACATGCTTTTAATTAGAGATATTTTACCATATTATCTATGATTGTGTTTTACAGAAACCATATATGAGGAATGCATCCATCTCATGCTGCTTGTGTTTCCTTCTCAACAGTCATTTTTTAACTGAGGCTGGCATTCATGTCTTCATTTTGGGGTAATTTCACCTGCAATCATAGTTGTTATCATAATCATTTGTCCTTGGCTGTCTTGCTGTTGAAACTGCAGTGTGTTCTGTTTGCCTGTGTGTAGGTCTTCACTCTTCAGGGTGAGATATCAGGTTACTATGGGGCTGCTCAGGGAACTTTGGCGAATATCTAACTGGGAGTTTCTGCACTTTGGCATATGAGTATTCTATCTCCCAAAGCAATCTGCAATAAGTATCCCATTTACTGATATCATGCATGTAAATTGTCCTCATTGGACAGATTGCCATTGGCTGACATGCTTTGTTCATGATCCTTCTGAGAGTAAGTGTTTTTTTCCTAAGGCTTTCAGAATCCATCCACAGTCACGTGATCAATATGTCTTTTATTCTGTGTATTAAATTTGAGTTCTAACCAGAGTGAATAAATTTGTGATTATCCATCTTGGTATTTAGACAAATTTTCCGTGACTATAAAATTTCCCCAGCCTCAGAATAGTGTGAGCATCATGGAAAGGGGACACTTACTCTCACAGTTGTTACATGAAAATGATGAGAGTTTAAGATTTTACACTGACCAGCCCTAAAGTTTCATGGAACCTGTACGTCAAGAAAACCAGTAATCAATTCAAGAGCATTCATTGAGCAATGCCACACATCAGGTACTACTCCAGTTGTGTTGGGATAAACTGAATGTGGTTACTTACGACTATCCAATTCGCCTTCTCTAATCCTCAAGGTTGGACAGTCCTCCACAAATTAGTTTAGAACATCATACTTGGACTACGTATTTGTTATTTCCATTTACCCACAGAGCTGTTGCAAACATGGAGACAGGCTACAACTGCTCTTTTCTCTAGTGAGAATAAATGATCTTGATTGTTCTGTTGCTCATGGACTCTGTCAGACAACAGCAGCCTCTTGCAAATTGTTTGGCTTTGTGTTTTCTTTCAGCTGTCTCATTATCGGTCTCCCTAAAACAGAGGCCAACTGGGAATATATAAGAATTGACCTGGAAAAAATTCAAAATTTTAGTAAAGTGAGTACTCATTTTTCACTTTTCTACTTTTTGTTCAAAGTTCATATTTGATATATTTTATTTTATTATAACTTTTATTCTCTAGAATGTCGTACATGTAGTAAGACAAAATCTCATCTACTGCCCATTTCACTCATTGTAAGGTCCTTCTTCTAACTCTCCACCGAGTCTGCTCCTAACTTCATACCAGTTTTTTCTTGCTTTTTTTTTTTTGATAACTCAGTAAGTCTGATTAATGTTGCCAGTAAGTTCATAGCCATGTACTTACTGAAAAATAAGAATGGGGACACCATCAAAAGACAATAATTTTCCCTCTCCCAGTAGATATCAAGGGCCAGCAGTTTCTGATGGGAGGGGCGGAGCCAGGAGCACACACCCCCTTTTACAATGTCATTGTGGCAGACTAGATCTGCAGAAAAATGTTCTGTGGGTTCATACATGTGATAGCTGTATCACCTCCAGAAGACAGGATTTCACTACACTTCTCCCTACCCTCTGACTTTCAAATTTTTTCTGCCTCCTTTTCATGAGTATTCCCTGAGCCTTGGTAGGACAGGGAGTAGGGTTGGTAACGATGTCTCATTTAGTGCCAAGCAGTCATCTCTTCTTCGTAGCACATTGACCAATTATGCCTCAGCACTGATTGCTTCCCACTGGAAAAAAAATAAGTTTCTCTGACCAAGGCTGACAGGATTTTGGGTCAATAGGCATAACCATAAATATTTAAGAGGTAATTTGACAGCATGGCCATTATGAAAATATCAGTAGCAGGCTCTGCCCTACTGCATATGACCTCTCAGCCATGGCCTTTTGATCAGGATTATAGTTCCAGGCATGAAATGTCCTTTTATTGAGCAGGTCTCAAATCCAGTCTAAAAGCAGTTAGTTATCCAAAAGAGCCGTGCCCCTAGTCGTGTCTTTTATGGCAAGTTGGTACTGTGTCACATAGGGACCCATGCTGGGTCCGGTCACTGTTATCATTTTTTTTTTCCAGAGAAAAACATATAATGGCTATGAAATATGCATCTGTCATGTTTTTCTATAAACTTCCATGAACTACCATTTGAAATAATTTTTGTGAAGAAATCCATGAACTTATGCCTCATAAGACAGTGTTTTCAAATTCTAGTTATTGTTAAGATTTACACCTTTATCAGAACTAAGAGCCTGTGGCTAGACAGGTCCTAGGCTCTTGTGGAGAACTTATTACTACTATTCTACTAAATGTGTAGCATGAAAGTGACTCCTAAAGGCTTGTCATTGTACCCATAGATTAATGCATCTCCCAGAGCTCATCAGAGAAGCTCCTTTTTGCCTTAGATGGTGATTAATACAGACCCACAGTTGATCAAGGTGAAGAGAATGAGAGCCTTCAGAGCGCTCAGCCCTTAATGGGATTTCTGTATTTCATGTCCTTTTCCCAAGACTCGGGGGTATTTGTAAAAGAGGTCTTAAAAAAATTGTAAGAGCCTGAGGCGGGAGATGACTACAAGGAAACTGTTTTCTCAACACAACAGGGCAGCTGTACATATGAACTCATAGCAGTTATGACAGCATACTCCAGACCCCCACAATCTCAAGTCAAATAAAATCTCAGCATGAAGTGCAGAGGTGACATAAAGTTCACCCCCAGCTGATGAAGGGTTGACAGTTAATAGTCAAACCTGACAGCTGGGAGAAAGAGAGTCACCTAGCTCAGCAGATGGGCACACATCTGATGAGAGGAGATGAGCAATTCTGATGATATGGATTTAAGAAAAAAAAAAGTAAAAAGAGGACACAGAGTTGGGTGGGTAGGGAAGGGGCATGGACATGAGAGGAGATACAAGAAGAGTAAATATCAAAACAAAGGTGCAAAAATTTTTAAGGGACTTCTAAAGGGATAAAAAATAAATTCAGTTTTTATGCAAAGTAGCCCAAGGAGCTCAATTCCTCATAAGTCAGAAACTCCTTTTCCTTATCTGAAAAATAGGTTACATGAAGGGGACCCAATGTGACATTAGCCTTAGAATGAGATATCTTTTCTAGGCACTGTAGATCATCTTCTCCTGCATAGAGATACCACATGGCCTTGTAGCAGTTTCTGTTGAATCTAGTCAAAAAAGATCAGGAATCCAGTACTAAATGACAGTCCTGAAAGCTATATTTTGTTTCTATGGATCAAGAAACATAGTCTAAAAAAGTGATTCCTATTGCAGTAAGTGAGAATTACAATGGAGGGTCCATAGAGGTGCTGAAAACAGCTTAGGTGACCCTGAGATTTCACCTGACACCCATGAGAATGGCCAAGATGAAAAACTCAAGGGACAACACATGCTGGAGAGGTTGTGGAGAAAGGGGAACCCTCCTCCACTGCTGGTGGGAATGTAAACTTGTACAACCACTCTGGAAATCAATCTGGCACTTTCTCAGACAACTAGGAATAGCTCTTCCTCAGGATTCAGCCATACCACTCCTAGGCATATACCCAAAAGAGGCTCAAGTACACAAAAAGGACATTTGCTCAACCATGTTTGTAGCAGCTTTATTTGTAATAGCCAGAAGCTGGAAACAGCCCAGATGACCTTCAACTGAAGAATGGATACAGAAATTGTGGTACATCTACACAATGGAATATTACTCAGCAATGAAAAACAAGGAAATCATGAAATTTGCAGGTAAATGGTGGGACCTGGAAAGGATCATCCTGAGTGAGGTAACCCAGAAGCAGAAAGACACACATGATATATACTCACTCATATAGGCATATAATAGAGGATAAACCTATTAAAATCTGTTCACCTAAAGAAACTAATCAAGAGGAAGGACTCTGACTAAAATGCTCAATCCCCATCCCAAAAGGCAAAGAGGAAGGACATCAGAAGAAGAAGAAAACAGTAAACAAGTTAGGAACCTACCACAGAGGGCCTCTGAAAGGCTCTGCCCTGCAGACTAATCAAAGCAGACGCTGAGACTTATGGCCAACTGTTGGGCAGAGTGCATAGAATCTTATGTAAGAAGTGGGAACTAGTAAGATCTGGAGAGGACAGGAGCTCCACAAGGAGAGCAACAGAACCAGAAAATTTGGACACAGGGGTCTTCCCAGAGACTCATACTCCAACCAAGTACCATGCATGGAGATAACCTAGAACCCCTGCACAGATGTAGCCCACAGCAGTTCAGTGTCCAAGTGGGTTACATAGTAATGGGAACAGAGACTGCCTCTGACATAAACTGATTGGCCTGCTCTTTGATCACCTCCCCCTGAGGGGGGAGCAGCCTTACCAGGCCACAGAAGATGACAATGCAGCCATTCCTGATAAGATCTGATAAACTAGGATCAGAAGGAAGGAGAGGAGGACCTCCCCCATCAGTGGACTTGGGGAGGGACATGCGTGAAGAAGGAGGAAAGAAGGTGGGATTAAGAGGGGAGGAGGGAGGGTTTTATGGGGGAGATACAAAGTGAATAAAGTGTAATTAATAAGTTAAAAAGGAAAAAAATTAAAAAAAAAGAATCAGCACACAAAATTCTGGCTGCATGCAAAACATATCAACAGGTGATTGACTGCATACTCAAGCAGGGCAAGAACCCCTTAACACAATAGCAATCATACCCAGATACAAGGAAAAACCGCTAGTCATACCAAGAGGGAAGTCATAATCCAGACCATTATTAGTCTTATAATAATATCAGGTAAAGCCGATTTGATGGGAAATGCAACTGCTAATTCTAAGAACAGCACTAATGACGAAAGAAAATTCATAAAGAAGAAACACGATTTTTGATACATAGGCACCAAGCAACAGTCTCAAAGTTCATGACACAAAATTTAACAGTGCAAAGAAGAAACAGACAAATTTATGATCAAAGTTGTGGATATCACTGTCTCCCATGCAATGACTAACTAGACAATTAAGTAAAAAACTGCAAAAGGATAGAAACCATGACAAAAACCAGCTAATGGAATTTGACTTTGTGCATGAAGCTTTTTACCCAATGGCATCAGAGCAAACTTTTTAAAATTCCCATAAAATAGTCATCAAGATTAAATATATCCTGATCCATAAAGTAAGGTTCATAAAACTTACCAGAATTTTGATCGTGCAGAAAGTATATTTAGAACACAGTGGAATCAAACTAGAGATGAAAAAGTACAACAGGAAAGCCTCTCAAATTTACAAGTTAAATAATATATTTCTAAATAATTCATGGGTCAAAGACTAATTCTCAAATATGTGAAAAAAACTCATAGAAATGAATAAAATGAAATCCAGTCTACTACAATGTTAACTACTAAAGATGAGTAATCTTTAAAAATAAATTACTATATTAAAAAAGAGGCAATACCAAGCATCATATTAGTAACTGAAGTTACATCTCCTCAGATTAGAAGAATCACAAAATAAATTCAATGCAAGTAGAAGGAAGGAAAGAATAGATCTGGGAGCAGAAATTAAGTTGAAATCAGAAAAGCAGTGGGCAAATCAATGAAACATAAAGGCACTACTCGGGAAAAAAAATCAATGAAATTAGTAAACATCTAATAATAAAAGAGACGATACAAATCATCAGCACCATGGATGGAATTGGTGGTTATTGGCACAGTATCTGTGGGGATAAAAATTGTCACAATTCCCTTAGTTTCTTGTAACTGCAGATTCTGTACCAAGGACTTACTGGAAATGGGCAAATTCTTCGAAGACCAAAAACTCCCAAAACATAACAATGATGAAATCAGTGGTTCAAGTACTACTATAACCACTGACGCTGTTCAGTTCACCATGCAGAACCCACTAGAAGAACCTTCAGAGGCAGCTGACTTTGCTCTAGCATCCTGAAACTTACTGCAAGGATTGCTAATGATGTGCACAGGTTTTTCTAGAGCATAGGAGGAAGGAAAGCCCTCTAATTCAGTTTAGAAGAGTAATCTTACCCTGATGTAAAACTTGATAAAGACACATTGAAATATGAAACCAAAGATAAGCAACTCTCATGTACTTAGTATAAAATTCCTCAATACAATGTTTCCAATCATATCTATCAGTGCATATAATAGGAATTATATATCATCACCATATGGGATTTAATCTAGGTATGAAAAATCATTTAATTATTTGAAGATCAATTAATGAATCAATTTGGTCTGATAAATCAGGAGCCTAAAAAATTATATCAATTGATTTAGAAAAGACATGATAAATTCAGCATCTCTTATACAGTCTTTTAATGACTGTCCGTACACCATCATATGACTGTGCTTTGATAGAGGGTCCTTAAAGAGCCATTTAAGTTAAAATAGGGTCATTAGGATGGTTCTAATACAATGTGATCAATTATCCTTAGAAAGACAGGAAACCATGCTACATACAAGGAAGGTACACAGGAGGAAGACATCCTGAGGAGATAGAGAAAAGATAGATGGACATTGACAAGGCAAAGTGAGAAGTTTGGGAGACCTGCTGGCACATCCCTTTGAGAGACTGATTGCCTTTAGAATTCGAGAAAAGTGCATATATGAAATTGTCATAGTAGTTTCAGCAAACTGTTGGAGAACTAGTTCAAGGCAAGATTTCTCAGCACAGTAGGAGCACAGTAGGAACAACTTAATATAAAATATGTACTAGAATACTTAAACTACCATTGCTGGCAGTGAGTGAAAGACAGCTTTTCTTTTGGGATTAAAAACAAATCTCTCACCTCTTTTATTCACCATGGTCTTTATCTTGGTGCATCCATACTGTAGATTAATAGAATAGGTGGACAGGCTTGGGTTGGTAGTGAACACCTTTAATTCCAGGACTCAAGAGGCAGAGGCAGAAGGATCTCTGTGAGTTAATATCATATCACATGCATACTATATATGTTATATATTATAATATAAAGTATATATTATATATTACAAAAATATAAAACTATATATTACTTATATATGTTATTTATGACATAATATTATATAGCATAAAACAGAACCCTAATATTCTGGCACAGTGTGTATTCATCAGCTTTCCACTAATAGCAAAATACCTGAGATAATTAAATTTAAAAGCTAAAAGGTTTATTTTGACTGATGGCTTTAGTGGTCCCAGTCTATGACTGGGAAAATTATTGATTTGGATTCTTTAGTGGGACTGCCAGTTTCTAAAGGGTAATTTTGTTGTTGTTGTTGTTGTTGTTTAGAAAGCAAAAAGAAGGAAGTATGAAGAGCTGAAAGTCCTACAGTGTCTTTCAAAGTCATGTCCCAGCGACCTCTTACTCTCTCTTAGATCCTTTTTCTAGAGGTTTCACCATTTCCATCCTGGAACCAAGAGTTTTTTGGGGGGGCATTAAATACCCAAAATGTAGCAATGTATGTCATTGGTCATAACAAATGCACATAAACAATGGAGGGAACTGGAATCAGATAAAGGGGCAGAAGAAAGCTCAAGACATTCTGCTGTTTTGTTTTGTTTTTTTTTCTATAACATAACTGGACAAATTGTTAACTTTTAAAAAACTAATCTTTTTTTCTTATCTATCTATCTGTGTATGTATGTATGTATGTATGTATGTATGTATGTATCTACCTACCTACCTACCTACCTATCTGTCTACCAACCTAACCTACATATTTATCTATCTATCATCTATTCACTTTATACCCCTCCCTCCTCTCCTACTGGTTCCACCCTCCCTTCCTCATCCCCCCTAACCCTCCTCCCATACTCCTCAGAAAAAGGGATCCTCAACAACAACAACCCACCTCAGCACATCTAATTGCATCAGGACTGAGTCCATCCTCTTGCCCTGTGGCCTGGTGAGGCATCCCTCACCAGGGCTCACCAGATCAAAAAGCAAGCAACAGAGACCTTGTTAGAAACAGCCTCTGCTCCTCTTACTAGGGAATCCACAAGAAAACCAAGCTGTCCATTAGCTACATCTGATCAGGGGGCCTACGTCCAGTCCATGCATGGTCCTTGGTTGGTGCATCAGTATCTGCAATCCCTTCCCTCCTGCCCTCTCTGACCAGGCCCTGCTTAGTTGGCTCTGTTGGTCTTCTTGTGGAGCTCCTGTACCCTCTGGTTCCCTAAAAAGCTAATCTTAAAAGGTTGCATTCTATATAACTCTATTTCTTTCACATTCTTGAAATGTTAAAGGTATAGGATTGGACAAGAGGGTAAAAATTGGTAAAATCTGGAGAAGGAAGAAACATTACATCAATATGTATTTCCCTGTTAGAAAATTGTGTTATGGCTAAACAAGTAACAGCAGGGTAACTCAGAGAAGGGATCAAAGAATCTCTTGATATGTTCTCTTACAGTTGCAGGAACTTAAAATTCTTGCAGAATTCAAAGTTAATTTAAAGGACTAAATTTATTGTTCACAGGAAGTTGTTATTATCATACCTAAATTAGCTCATTTTCTCTTTTTCAGCATATTCATATTGATACTACTTTATACACTGACATTGACTTTCATGTGAGTAGTTTTGTTTTTTTTTTTTCAGTGTTTTAGCCATATTCCCATGACTTCATTGGAATAGTTATAGTTTTGAAATCTCACTATGGTCGGTTTTCCTGGCGTTTGACCCGTGACATTTCTAAGAGATCATTGAATTTGTGGAACCCAGAACAAAGAGCTACATAAATGCTACTTTTGTAATGGTTCCAAATCAAAATGTACAAACACACACACACACACACACACACAACCCAGAAAACCTTTTTCCAGTGTCAAACAAAATCTCATATATTTCTGTGATGCAATTAGATCATCATAGGATTATATGCACGAATCAGGTTAAATGATTCGATCGAAATGTCTCCATCAAACTCATTATTCCTAATGCTGTAATGAATCACCATCTTCAATAACACCTATTGCAACTTGCTTAAGGGTATCCATGTTTTATGTTTTGCATGGCTCTCTATACCTGTAAAAAGTCTTTTAGCTAGTCTATACGTGAGAGAAAAGCATAATCCAAACAATATACTAGAATTTCTAAAGGATGAACTCGCGTCGTTACAATACACTGACATTGTTGATGGGTGTACGCACTGGTCACATCGCTCCTCTTTTCACTCTAGATACATCTCCAATTCCACTGCTTGGGAAACGTAGTGACTAATTTAATTTAAATTGTTAAATTCTCACAATTGGAAATTACCTAGTAAGAATATCAGTGAGCTTTACCCGGGATCATGTCTACAGGGTATTTAACTGTGGTGGGAAGATCTACCCTGAACCGGGCAGCATCACTTTATGGGCTGAATCCTGGGCTTAAGCGTGGAGAATGCTGGAGGAGCCCTGAGCACAGCTGCATGCTCTTAACTGTGGGTCTGATCAGCTGTCTTTAAGTTCTGCTGTCTTGACTTCCCTGAGATGATGGATTGTACCACAGAATTGTGAGCAAAATAGGCATCCTTTCTCTTTGAAGTTGCTCTTCGTCAGAGTATTTTATCACAGTGACAGAGACAGAAATGAAACTAGAACCAAACCAAACTGCGTATTGGGTGTCACTGGGAACTTCTTCCAGGTGGAAGGTTTGTGCCCCTGCTCATGGTTGGTTTAGTAGAAGGTGGAACCTGAAATTCATACAAGCAGATGTCCACCAAACACATGGGTAAGATCTAGATAACCCCTTTTCTGATTTTGCATTTTTTTACCCCCACCTAATCAGTAAGCCTTCCCATGCTGGAAGACAGCCTTGCGACTCAGGGCAATAGAAATGTAGGTGTGAGTGCCGTAGACTCAGGCACAGATTAGTTCTCATTTAATTATTATTATTATTATTATTATTTTGTTCTTCATTATTTTTGTTTAAGTTTACGGTTTTGTGAAGTAACTCTTACAAGAAATACATTTTCTTGTTCATAGTTCCTGTCTGACCTGGCCAGGCCATGAGTGGGCACCACCTTTGCTTTGATTCTTCTCTCGAATTTCTTAGAATTCTTTCTTTTGGGAACTGTAGGGACACTATGACTTGCAAGTTATCATGCCATAAGATGTGAACATACAGTCTGACCCTAAATATTATTGCAGATTTTGTCACTTGTAGACTGCTTTATCACTCGCACAGTGAAAGAGTCATGCTCAGTAAGAAATGGTAGCCTTTTACACCCATGTTTCCTTCTGGACAATAATACTATCCTCCTTCTTTGTTGTTGGTTTTAGTTTTGATTTTAAAATCAATGGAAAAGAAAGCCACTTCCTATGTAAATATAATCCCTTACCAGTACACAGACAAATAATAACTTAGAGAAGAAAGTGTTTATTTGGCTTACAATTCCAAGTTATAGTCCATTATTATGGGAAGTCAGGACAGGAACTTAAAGTATCTAACAGTCAAGAACAGAGACAGAATAACTGCAAGAATCCTTGCTTGCTTGCTCTCAGCTAGCTCTCTTCTGTCTTGTACTATTCAGGGCCCTCTGCCTAAGGAATGGAGCCACCCACAGTAGTTTGGGTCTTTCTCCGTGAATTAATAATGAAGACAAGCTTTTAGGGACATGCCTACAGGTTAACCTAATGTGTAATTCCTCATAAAGACTATCTTCTAGGTTGTGTCAAACTGACAATTAAATGTAAGCAGAATGGGCATTATGCTTCTTTGTAAGATAATAAGATGGGATTTCCTGATTTATTTTTTTAATCAAAGTTTTCAAAGTCTTATCAATGTGAAAATGAATAATGAGAATTTTTTTTTAAACTGGCTCTTTTTTAACTCTTATTTTTAGCCCAGTTGCAAATTTACTGCAATGAATTGCTTTCTCATGGAGTTACGGGTTATTTTACATGAGTACAAGTACCATGACGAAAACCTTACTGATACAGTACTAAACGTGATGATTCTTGGAAACAGCACTCTGTTTTCTAACAAGGTGAGTGAACCACCACAGAGAGAGCTGCATCTAAGTTTTCCGCTTGCTTGGGATAAGGCATTCATACGCAAGCAGAAGTCTCCCGTGGGGCACACAGGAGAGAGTTTGATTTCAGTGGAATGGTGTTCAAAAGTCAAACCAGCTCTGGCATGCACAGAATCCTGAGGTCGTTGAGAGCCTTGGCAAATCCGACATTTCTGAGTAATACTGAACAGTGTGTTGATGTCCTACTGGACCAGTAGGCAAGCCACTGCAGTGGGTAGACGTTAGCATAATCAAGTGTTTAACAGCAGAGATGGTGGCTCACATGTATCGGGTTAGTCCTTCATGTCGCACATTGTTCCTTATGCTTTAGACTGATAAGGTACTATGTACTCAAGATTAGTCTTAGGGATGATCACTTTTTTTTTTCACATCTAGCTGTCTTCATTTCTGTTTGTCTGTTGATGCACTGGGAACACCCGGAGCTAACCATGGGCTCCAGTTTGTGCAGTGAATGGCACAAGAGCTGTGATTCTCCTGTCATCTCACCTTGTAAAAATTGAAGGAATGAAAAATTTATAATACTCAAAAGTGTTAGTTGGAACATCCCAGACATCATGAGCAGGAGAGGGTCACAAGAAAGCAAACACTAGTGACACCTTTGGTTGGTTGGCAGAGGGATGAGCTTCACAAATGCCCTGAAGTGCAAGGAATTGTGGCTTGAACGGCACAACCGTAGTGGGGGAAACAAGGTGGAACTTATCAGCAGAGGAGGCACAGTAAAATTATTTCATTTAATAAGTACTTCAGGATGCTGTGTTAAGAAGAACCTGTGGTCACCGTTTAAGGAGGAAATGTAAATTAGCTGATCACTGAATGAGTGAACCAGCCTGGTAGTCGCTAAGCATGATGAAAGTGTATATGTGTGGGGGAAAGGGAGTTCTTTCTGGTGAGGAGAAGGGTTAACCAATAAGCTGGTTACATAGAGTCAGTGACACTCAAGGAGTGTCTGTACACAGACAATTAGGAGTGCAATGACCTTGAGATGCCTTGGCTTCTCCCAAATTCTGGGCTGCCTTGGGTTTGTGCTCAGCTGTCACCTGCTCAGTGATGTCACTTATTTATATTCGCCATGCTTTCCTCACTCCATCACTCTCTGTCCCTTTCTCTGTATGTGCCACACTCTGGTAATCATGTACCAGATTTAGAAGCAGTGATTGTCTGTATGTCACCATTGGAAAGTCAGCCTCAAACAGCATACATTTTAAAGTCCTTTTGAGTGTTTTATTACAATTCCTGGAACATACACTTCTCACAGGTACTTACAAAGTGGATCTATTCATGCTTAAATTACTTCTGTAATACATTATTGTCATTTGTTAATGGGGAGAAATGTAACAGATAACTCACGACAGTATCAGTGTCGAGCTTTACGATCCGTGTGGTACTAGCCTGGGGATGACAGCTTAGCATAACTACTTGGAAAAGTGAACAGGGCTGAGTAGTTGGGAGGCCTGCATAGGATTCCCGTTTTCTGTTAGTGGTGATGAGCCACTCAGTGTCATTGCCTCCTTTTCTGACACTGTTTTCAGGACCAAGCAGAGAGCAGTGTAAGCATTATGACAGTGTCCAGCATACAGTGTGTGCTTGGTGCATACACTGAATTCCAGGCACCTAATGGATGTGAAATCTGGTTTTGATTTTTGCTGGCACTGCTTTTATGGTTCAGTTGATCTCTAAAATGTTTATTCATGATTGCTGCACTTGTAATATTCTAGTTGTCCCCAAAGGTGTGCTTATGGCAATTGCCTATGTAGTTAAGATCAACCAATAATATTAAGGTGCTTAATGCTGGGAAACAAGATACATTGTTATGCTTTCCAGGAATATGTAGACAACAGTAGTGTAAGAAGGTTAGAAGTCTATGATGTGTGTGTATGTTATCCGTTCATGTCATACACATTCATATGTGTATGTATGTGTATGTGGAACTGAAAGGCAAGTGCTCACTTGGTGTCTCAAGGGCATGGCGTTCATCACACAGAGGCCATGGAATGTTCAGGAAGTGTGGACTGCAAGAGAGATACAAGGAACCCACTGATGGACTTTAGGCAGGAAGCACACAGTCTAACATGAATGGCATGCATTTGCAAAGATTTTAATCCAGTGTAGGAGAGACCAACCCCTGTAAATCTTCTGATCCCTTCTCATGTTACTCTTCTTAACATGATATTTGTCTGAAGACCCCACCATGTGTTTTAAGTAGTATGATAACCCTAACAAAGAAATATGTTCAGCTTGCAAATCAAATTCTTCCTTTTTATTTGACAGAATATAGTAGAATATGGCTGCAAGAAATGTGAGGAACTGGAGGAGAAAAACTTCACAGAATTTTTGCAGAGTTTTATACGCATTGTACAAATGTTCTCCGAAAAGTCTTGATTGTAGTTAATTCTCTTCAGATATTAAGACGCCTCCTCCTGCTGCTCAGACGCAGCACAGCTCTGTGCATTTGAGATCTGCTGGGAAAGCAAAGCTTTCTCACAGGAAGCTGATGAGCTGCTTGGATCCCATAGACTCTTTGAAATGAAGGGAGAAAAAGAGCTTTTCTCAGACTTTTTTTTTTGCTTGCTTATTTTTAATTTATTACTGTAGTTGTACATATTTGTAATATAACAGAAGATGTGGAATAAAGTTTTGTGTATATTTTATCAATTGAAACTTACTCTTCTTTTCCCATTTTTATTAGTTTGTGTTTGGCTGTGTGTGATGTTTGTGTGTGCACGTTTGTCCGTGTGTAGCGCAGTGCAAGAGTGTGCAAGTGTGTTGAGGCAGAGGTCGACCTCAGGTGCTTGCTCCTTATTTTTGTTTGCTTTGTTTTGTTTTGGAGGCTGTGCCTCTTCCTTAGCCAGAGCTCAGTAGTTAGTGAGACTATGAGGCCAGTGAACCCTAGGTCTCCTCCTGTCTCCTCCTGGCCCCTTCAGAAGTGAGATTATAGACACTTGTCACATTCTCGGCATTTTATCTGGGTGCTGATGAACTGAACCCAAATCCTCATGCTTGTGTGGCAAGCACATTCCCAACTGAACCATCTCCCAACTCTTTGTTCATCTCTTGGAGAAAGTGAAGAGCATTTTCTTTGAGGGGGATAGTCCTTCAAGGAAAGTACAAGCGTACACAGTATGATGTTTGCATTAGGATCTCCCCTTTCCCTGAATAGTGCTATTCTATTGTCACAGTTTTTAATGCCATACTTGTTGAGGTTTTAAAAGGGCTGATTTCTTGGACTTCGTTTGGTTTGGCATAAATATAATTGTTCATAGCTGTTGGGAAATGGCTCAGAGGTGGGAATATTTCCTCCACAAGTGTGACAATCCACATTTGCACCCCTGGCATCTTTAGAAAGCCATGCCTACCCTTCACGTGGTGGAGGAACAGTAGGATGGATGGAGTTTGATGGCTACTGGCTTAGGTCCACATTCAGTGAGGCACACTGTCCTAAGAGAATGCAGAGGAGAGTGATAGAGCAGGATGTCCACATACCCGTATACCTGCATCCATTCAACACTAATATGCAACTTAAAAATAGCTAATAATAAAGTTTTATAGTCCTTACTAACATTTGTTAGTTATACTGTGTAAGCTTTCTAGCATTCCTATTGCTAGAAAGTGAGAAAAATTACCATTTTTAACTTTAATTTTCTAATCTAATGGTCCCCATCCGGTGTTTATCTGAGGAAAGGGAGATCAAAATGCCAGTTATGTTCCTGATGGAATTTGATAGTGATTAATAACCCACTTGCATTTTATAAACCAGCACTGGATGGTTTTAAAATTGAAATGTTCCAGTGCTCAAAGTTACTGTCTCTGAACACAGCTAATTTGAGAAAACTCAAGCCTTTAATTTGATGTAAGAGATGAAATGGGCATATGCAAGCATCTTTTAGTTAACATAAGAGGTAAGATGATCATGTACCATGATCTAAATTTAGTTTCTCGTGTGTCTGCTCATAAAGTCAAACCATTATCTCTATTTCAAAGTCCACACGTTCTACACCCTTTCATTGCACAGCCCAATGTCATTTTCCTGGTGAATGCCCTGTTTACATCCCACCTACTGCCCTAATTGCTAAAAATATTTGCCATATACTTCCTATAATGAAAGAAGCACAAAATCATATATCTAATGGTAAGTAGACAAAGTAAGCCAAATAAACATTAGATTGATAGCCCAACATGCAATTGATGAATAGATTCTTGCATTTTCATTTCAAGTAAGAAAATATGTATGAGAGGATATTATCTGCGCACTCTCTGGTAATAAAATAAAAGGACTGTGAGGTGGGGACGTGGAAACACAAGCAGAACTAATAAGTAATTTGTGAGCCAAGAGAATTTTATAACCCAATTACAAGTCTAGTTTTATATAATCTAATTCTTTACCTGAGATGAGAGAATCAATAGAATTACCTTCTGCTGTTGCTGCTGCAGTATAAAGAGGGAATTATATGCCTTGATATTGTAGTTTATGGCTGACAAATTCAATAACTCATAAAAATCAAAGCAACATACACAAACAAAAATCAAGTACTGTGATTGCTCCCTCCTTTCTGTCCTCAAGCAACAAAAAAATCCTAGAGAGTGTATTCCTGTTCCTTCTCTTGTGTGACTATGTAACACAACATACGCCATCAGCACTCACAGGCAAATCATGCTTAACATTTGCATGCAATGGATAAATATTTTGCTTAGAGGAAATCCTATTTCCAAGGAGATTTGGTTCAGTCTTTCTGAACATGTCTAGTGACTGAATTGTGTTCTTGCTAAGAATGTGTTATATAAGGCATTTAGCTGTATGAAGAGTCTGTTGATCCTAACTGTGTACTCTACCTGACACAACAGAAGAAAATTAATGAAGCAGAGGCATGTTTTTATCCTATAATTTACTTCTTCAACCCTGAATTTTGCAGTAGGAATTGAAGAAACCAAGGAGACTATTGTAGCATAGAAACAGATTAGAAAGTTGCTCCATTTAGCCTTTGGAAATAGTGTCAGACTTTTTAGACTGTTGTCATGGAATACAGCATCCATACCCAAGTTATGTATCTTTGTTGTCATGGTCACTTTTTTTTAAATTAAGAATTCATTATGCCAGTCATACTAGAACTTCAGTTATTTTAAATCTACCCTGGGTGAACATTTTAACAGATGCTGTAAAAGGTCATAGTGTCAGTCTTCATGAGCTTTGCAATCCAGCAGGAGCATCCTATTGTCAAACTCATCATTTGAGGTCTTACTTGGCCTCCATCAACTTTGTGAAGGGCATCAGGGAGGACCAGGTTCATTCAAGGTGTGTGTTCAAAGAGCAGCTCCTGGAAGCAATGACAGGTGAGCTGAGCTATCAGCGAATATGAATTAGGTTAGGGGAGAAACAAAAAGAGTGACAGACAGTGCTTCAGTCAGTGAGGATGGGACCGTTCCTAGGGCAAAAGAAAATCCAGAATGACTAGGCTGGGGAAAGATGGAAAGGGAAGTGTGATAATGGAAGAGCTGACTGCCTCCAAGGGCTGCACTAGTGACATTTCTGTCTGTCCTAAAGAATGAAGACTCATATGGTAACATTTAAACTATTTTGAAGGGAAAATGTAAGTCAAAGTCTCCTTATAAGTAAATATCAGATCAATAAAATTCACCATCTGGGAGTACCATCCCTACCTTTTGATGATTTCGTGGAACGGCGAATGGGCTACAGTATCAGCAAGTACTCACTCTGTGACAGCCCTGCATCCACCATGCGGGGCTTGCAATGCCTGAAGTCAGGGGCATCTGTGCAAGCAAAGCACTGGACTCTACAGAGTCAGAGAAGGTCTGTGGAGAAATCTTAGAACAAAGAAGGCTTTTTGAATGTAGGGTTTTCTAAATCCCATGTCACCAAAAGCTGTTTGATATAAGGGAAGTCAATTATTCTCATCAAGATAAGCCAAGTAGAGGAAGGCCCATGGAGTGGCAGCTAGGAACAGTTAAAATGAGAAGTATGAAGAGGTGAGATGTGACTGGGTAGACAGAAGACATCTGAAGTACAAGTAGCAATACATAACACTGAGGACAGACACAGCAAGGCTTAAAACAAATGTAAGCTGGTGGGCTTAAGGGGAGGCAGAAGAAGAAAAAATATCTCCCAAAGCGAAGAGTCGACAGGAAATGGGGATGGCGAAGCAGAGATGGCTCAATTTGGCAGGCATCACTCTCTCCTAAGGATTTAAAGATCATAGCCAAGTTCGGTTTCCTGTGATTAATTAAGTTTGTAAGCCCTCCTCCCAGGATGCACCGGGCTGATGGTAATAATAGCTCTTTTATACATGTATGAGTTAAGTTCACAAAACACCTCATCTCTGTTATTTTATTTGATGACAGTGTTCACCTCTCTAGGGCACTGATTCAAAGAGAAAAAGCCTTGGAAATATTTGACTGATGTCAGTGATGTATAATGTGTAATGTAGCAAAAACTACCTGAGATTTTGCCTGAATTGAGCTGTGCTGTATTTATGCCTTATTGCTACTTGTATTTCTTTTAAAATAAACATGAGTTTAATACTTGGGGTGGAAAATTGTGTCTTACTCAAGAGATTAAAATAACACTTAAGTATATATTTTTGGTTCATATTTTTATATTATTTCTTTATACAATTCTATTCTGTTATTTTTCCTTTCTTTTCCCATATGGCAAATGTACCAGTAGGTTAATCAAGCCTGAATTAATTACCTTTTTATAGTAAAAGAAAATTCTCTCCTCTTGACAAGGAAGATGTTTGAATTATATTTATGAATAAATAAAGGTAACTGCTAGACACAGCATTTTTAATAGCATGGCTTCAAACACTTTGACTAAAAAGGTTTCTACTTCATTTAAAAAAAAAAAAAGAACATCCACCACTGGTATCCCTCAGGTGTGAAAACCACAGAGTAGCAATATGTCTATGAAACACTCATTTCAGAACAGCAAGCACAAGGTAGTACACTTAATGGTCACTCTCTTTGGGGGTCACATGGCCTGGTTCTTCTGTTTTTCCTGTGGAGGGCAGGCCAGCAACATAACTCTTCCCCAGTAACACATTGGCAGCCGCATGTTTCAGTCTTTATCATTCAGTCTGCAATGATAGCTAGCTGTCTGCTTTTCAGTTGAATGGCTTTTTAATAGAAGAGACTCTGCTTGGGTCAGACAGTGTATTTGCCAAACAGAGCACTCCCTGCTAGCAAAGACTGCAAGCTGCAGATCCGAGAAAGCCTCACCTCCTCATGGTGGTGGTGATGATGATGATGATGGTGATGATGATGACGATGTCATAGTCCTTGGAAGCTTGGCTTGGCATTCAGACCTCTCCCTTTGAAGGGAGTTGCTATTCCGGGGATTTTCGGGTCCCTAGGTACTCACTTCATGATGTAGTACACATTTATTTTACTTCTAAAAAAACAAACATGAAATGTGCTCCATTGGATTAATATTGGATAAATATTTGCAAGCAGTGGCAACAAGGACCAGTGACATAGCTCCAGGTGCAGGGAGGTGCACCGTCAAGAATTTAGAAACAGCCGCTCCTGATGAGACCTAATTGACTAGGATCAGAAGGAAGGGAAAGAAGACCTCCCCTGTCAGCGGACTTGGGGAGGGGCATGCATGCAGAGGGTGGAGGAAGGGAGGGATTGGGATGGGAGGA